GTTAGTGCCTTGATTGAAACTATTGGCAACAAATTCTCTTTTATTATACTTACTGAAACATGGTTGAAAGAGGATACTACTCAACTCTTTAACATGCCTAACTACTCAGCAATTCACAACTGTCGTCAACTTCAGAGAGGTGGTGGCACTGCTCTTTACTACCACCAAGAACTAACATGCCTAAAAGAAATTAGAACTAGAGACTGCTATGGGGAGTATATCTTCGCCAGCTTCAGAGTCAAGGGTGCCGAGTCTGTCCTGTCTGTGGGTGCAGTCTATAGAATTCCCAACACTGATGTGTCTGTATTCAACTCAAACCTTAGAAATCTAATACTTGATAACAGACTGAACAAAAACCACCTAATTATCGCAGGGGACTTTAATATTGACCTCTGCGAGCCAGAACACCCTACTGCTGTTAGCTTCCTCAACTGTATGAATTCCTGCCTCCTCATACCCTTAATCACTAGACCTACTAGAATCACTGATAGCACTGCCACGACTCTAGATCACATCTGGACCAACATAACCTCTCCGCTTACTTCAGGTATAATCACCGATAGCACTACAGACCACTACCCCACATTTCTCTTAACTAACATTAGCAAACCACCTCTAGAAACAAGGGAGTTAAGCTTTAGGCTGCACAATGAAACTGCTATAAACAATTTTATAACTGCTGCTGATAATGTCAACTGGGAGTCCGAATTAGGTAACATAGGGGACATCAACCTAGCAGTGCAATCTTTTCTACAAACAACTCTTAGCCTTTATAACACCCACTGTCCTAGGCTTACTAAACAAGTCACAAGCAAAAGGCTTAACAATCCTTGGCTTACAAAGGGAATACTGAAATCCATTAACAAAAAACACGACCTTGAGAAGAAGTATAGGTTAGGAATTGTCTCCAAAGAATTCTCAAAGAATTACTCATTATTGCTAACTAAGATAATTAGACGAGCCAAAACTAATTACTACGAAGATAAATTTACTCAAATAAAGAGCAACATTAAACAAACTTGGAGCACAATTTCACAAATATTGGGATCAAAGAAATCTTTAAATAACAAACCGACTCTCCTGTCTAATAACGATGGTCAGCTTTCAGCCTCTGATTCTGCTATTGAGTTCAATAGGTTCTTCTCTTCCATTGGTTCATCCCTTGCAAATGATATTCCATCTTCCAGTACTGACATTAAGGACTATCTTACAGGTAACTATCCACAGTCTCTGTACCTAAAGCCTATTAACTCCACTGACGTCAATGAGATAATCCTTTCCCTTAAAACCAAGTCTGGTGCCCTTGAGGAGATACCAACTTTAATTTACAAAAAAGCCTCCAGATCTTTAGCCCCTGCTATTGCTTTGCTCTTCAACAAGTCACTTGAACTCCAAACCTTTCCAGATATTCTAAAAAAAGCGAGAGTAACGCCTGTCCACAAATGTGGTGACCCCACAGATGTTAACAACTACAGACCTATATCAATCCTGCCAAACTTGTCAAAAATTTTTGAAAAACTTATATACAAGCAGCTTTACTCATATCTAGCCAAACTCAATATACTTAGCCCTTGCCAATATGGCTTCAGACCCAAAAAAAGCACTAACGATGCACTTATTAGTATGCTTAACTCGATTCATACAGCTCTTGATAAAAAGGAGCTCCCTGTTGGGTTATTTGTGGACCTGCGTAAAGCTTTTGATACTGTCAACCACCAAAACCTTCTTCTTAAACTACATCATTATGGAGTCAGAGGACACTCCCTACAATACCTCGAGTCCTACCTTACTGACAGGCTCCAATATGTTTCTGTGAATAATACAATTTCTCCCACCCTACCCATCAACATTGGTGTTCCTCAGGGCAGCATACTTGGCCCTCTCCTCTTTCTCATCTACATTAATGACCTTCCAAATGCCTCCCAACACCTCAAACCAATTCTATTTGCTGACGACACAACCTTCATTTACTCCAGTCCTGACCCTCTTGCTCTAAATGCCACAGTAAATACTGAGCTAAATAAAGTCCATCTTTGGCTAACTGCCAACAAACTCACCCTTAACATTGACAAAACCTTCTATATTCTGTTTGGCAATAAATCCTCTAGTCTTATAAATCTCAAAATAAACAATACCCAAATTTGTAACAAATTAGATGGCAAATTCCTTGGCATTCTCATTGACCACAAGCTGAATTTCCAGGGACACATTCTAAATATATCAAAAAAAGTTTCAAAAACTGTGGGCATTCTTTCTAAGATCAGATATTATGTACCACGCCCTGCTCTGGTGACTCTCTATTACTCCCTTATCTATCCTTATCTCAACTATGGTATTTGTGCTTGGGGTTCTACTACCCAAAATCACTTACGTCCTCTAATTACCCAACACAAAGCCGCTATTAGAACAATATCCAACTCTGGCCCCAGACATCACTCGGTACCCCTACTCAAATCTCTTAATATGTTAGATATTAAGTCACTGCACATTCTCTCATGTGTATTATACATATATAAAACGCTAAACTATAATGCCAATCCTGATCTTAAAAGCTTCATAGAAGGTTGTAACAGAACCCATGAGCACCACACCAGAAATAAATACAGTTTTGATATTCCTAGAGTACGTCTTAATCAAACTAGAAATGCTCTGCAAATCAAGGGGCCCAGAATGTGGAATGACCTTCCCAACCATGTTAAAGACTGTACCTCTCTCAACCAGTTTAAGATAAAAACTAAACACTACCTAATAAATTCCCTGTAATCTACCTCACTCCTCTATTGTCAACCCATGTCTGTTATTTTCTTTTTTTTTTCTTTTTTTTAATCAACACTGTTTGTCAACCTATTGTATTTGTGCTGCTTTTTCAGTCATGTTCCCCCTTTTTTTTTATCTTTATTTGTATTTGTTCTCAACATCTTTTATTCTTTATGCTCAATTAGTATTAAGTTCTAGATATTAATGTTTTTTCTTGCCCGAAACGCATTGCGTAATAGTGGCTTTAGGCATTGTATGTACTAGCTCTATCTATATATCAATCCATTAATGTAACATCACTTGTATGTATATACCTTACCTGAATAAACATCTGAATCTGAATCTGAATCTGAATCTGAAGTGCGTAGGCGTCTGCACTCCATGCCCGACAAGCTACTGAGCGCTACTATAAAAACATATGTATCTTCACTTGAGCTATAAATATGTCTATTGTAATGTATTGAAAATGAAGCTCTTATTTCTAACTTGCTTAAGACATATAAAACATTTGTGTTTATTAATGAATTTACGTGAAATAAACATTGATATGAGAGAGAGTTGCTCTGTCGTTCAGTCTGTACGGGGTGGGAGCTCCGTAATTTTTAAAATACATGTATCTTCATTAGAACTTTAAATATGTCTATGGTAAAGTGTTTAATGTGAAGCTTATATGTCTGCCTTTCTTGAGACATATAAAACACATATGTTTATTAACGAATTCACGTAAAATAAACATTGTTCTGCTAGAGAGTTGCTCGGTCGATCGATCTGTCTGCGATCGGAGCTCGGCTATTATAAAAGTACACGTATCTTCGCTTTAAATTTAAATATACCCATGGTAAGGTATTTAGAATGAAGCTTATATTTCTATCTTTCTTGTGACATTTAAAATTCTTACGTTTATTAAGGAATCTGCGTGAAATAGGCATGGTTCTGAGATGAATGCTGCGGTTTTCGAGCTCGACAATGGACGCCAATCACATCCACTGGGTGTTATTGGACCCCATACCCATTCTATGGATGGTTGGAGCCCCATACTCATTCTATGGGTGGTTGGAGCCCCATACCCATCCTGTGGGTTGTAGTGGACGCCATACTCATCCTGTGGGTGGTATTGGACCCCATACCCTTCCTGTGGGTGGATGTGGTCCCCATACTCATCCTGTGGGTGGATGTGACCCTCATACCCATCCTGTGGGTGGTATTGGACCCCTTACCCACCTAACAGGTGGTAGTGGACAATATACCCATCCTAGCTATAGTTGGTATAGTAGACACAATAATATCCTGTTTGCAGTAGTTTACCCCATAGACATTCCAACGTAACATCGTTTTCTGTTAGCGTTCCTACAAAACATCCTTTAAAGATTTGTAAAGCACAAACTATGGTATATAATATTGATTGACGAAGGACTGTTATTCTATGTAATAATTTTTAGTGCTTATTATAATTTACTAAGAACAACTAATATTTCTCAAAACAAAACTACGAGCCTTCAATAGGAAGTAGCTGATCTGTAATATTCTAAGAGCATGGACAATAGTAGGTAAATTTTACAACCCATGTGGGATCTGAAAACTACAATTTTCCTTATAATTGAACCAATCACGACTATTCTGCTATCTAGGTTGACGGATGGATACTGTGAGACGTAAATTGGCACGTGAGGAAGAGTTTGGGCCTTAGAAAAAAAGTAACTGGGAATATGTCACATATTTACTAATTCATATTCAACATATTGACTTTAAGCATTAAGTCATATATGTGCTGTCTTGTGTGAGAACGGGTTGGCGCTATGTCATGGGTTCGTATCCTGGCCGGGGAGGATTTACTGGGCGCAATTCCTTAACTGTAGCCTCTGTTTAACACAACAGTAAAATGTGTACTTGGATGAAAAAACGATTCTTCGCGGCAGGGAATCGTATTCCAGGGACCTGCCCGAAATGCTACGCGTACTAGTGGCTGTACAAGAATGTAACAACTCTTGTATATATCTCAAAAAAAAAAAAAAAAAAAAAAAAAAAATACTGATCTGACATTCATGACACCCTAACCTAATCTACCATACCCCCAACGCAACCTAACCTACACCACCCTAACTCCACCTAACCCAACCTACACCACCCTAACTCAACCTAACCCAACCTACACCACCCTAACTCAACCTAACCCAAACTGACCTGTGTGATTTTGATCCGGGTATTTCTAGAATCTGTTGACCGAGTGCTGATGGCATGAATTGTTATATAAATTCATTGATTAGTTTTTATTAGTCCTTTAAATTGTATTCTCATCGTCCTACTTTTGTAATGTAAATGTAGCAATATTTGTCACTGCTCTGATGAAAAACCTTTTATCTTCCAAATTACTAGTACTGTATAAGTTAAATATTACTCACTTTAAACCAAAATGTACAGTTTGATTTAGACTGATGTAACCCCCGTGTTTGTTTCAGTCACTATTGTAACGATTTGTGTAAGTTGTTACGGAAATTTTTCTGAACCGCCAACCACATGAACCATAGCTCGTAGCTCTACATACTGTACTGAATCACCAATACCCTTTACAAAGGATTCCAGAGACACCTATCTGCTGCCCAACTGGAATTGTAAGCCTTCCCTGACGTGGATCACCTAACTCCTTCATGCTAAAGTAGCACCAATTCATACGTTCTGCTCACCGAAACACCAAACCAGCTTGGGAAGGTACTGAGGGTGACCTTCCCAGAAAACACTTACCCTAAGTGGTAGTGGTAGTAGTAGTGTTGACTCAAAAAGATTAGATCAAATATTATAGATATTACTCCAAGGCCAAATTTGCTGAAGTCGGTAAATATAGAGACCCAATCATCTGTAACAGAGAAAAAATGATTATTGTTGTGTTTTTTTTTTTTTTTTTTTTTTTATTCCTGCGCCATTTTCCTGCGTGGCCAAGGCAAGCACTGCCTCTGCTTCTAGTTTACGTCTAGGGGGCTTGTAAACGTTGTATATGAGGAGCTCAATATTAGCCACATTCACTGTTACTGTTAATACCTCTACTCCATCCCCACATGAAACTGGGTCTATTTTCTTGCTGGGTATGGTGTTCCTGACTAGGGTCATTAATCCTCTTGTCTCCCCTGCTCATACGGTATAACATAGTGCTGATATCCAGCTAATCTGAAGGATTTCGTGGCTGGGAAAAAGAGTTTCTTCCAAAACGATTATATCTGCTTTCGTGCTGATTGCAGCCTCCTGAAGTGTGTGGTTTTTATTTCCAAGACCTTGTATGTTCCACTGCAGTATTTGTAATGGCCAGACGACGGTTTCGGTTGGTGTTGCCTGTTCTACCAGAACTCCTCTTCGGGATCGACCTCTATATTCTCCACCTCGCAAGTCGTGTCACTGCAAATCGGACTGCATTGATTGTTCGTGGTCATCCCCGGCATTGTTGGAGTCTGTGCATAACTTTGGTCCATCACTTTGTTGTTGGTATTGCTGCATGTCGGACTGCCTTGATTGCTCGTGGCTGTTTCTTGTGTTGTTGGAACCTGTGCATCTCTGCTGTTCAATACGTCTTTGTTGGTGTTGTTGCATATCAGACTGCAATGGCTGTTGTTGTCTGTCTCTTGTGTTGTAAGATTCTGTTGATTTTGGGTAGTCACTGCTTCTTGCAGTTGCTTTTGTAAATGTTGATGTTCTGGTGTCTTGACTACCCGACTGTTGTTGAAAGTCTGTATCTGCTGCACGATCTTGTCCATTATCACACAAGTGATTTCTTGAGTCTGTTGTTGTGAGGCGTTCTGCGTCATCTGTAGGGAATTGATAATGGTCTCTGCCATGATCTTCACGATGTTTTTCAGCTGGACCTCGGTGGTAAAACTGTATATCTGTTGTGTTGATTCCGAAAGTAATTGTTTTTTGCTCTTTTGCATTTGCTGTATTTCTGCAGCACTTTTGTGTATTTTCTGATTTGGAATTAATAGATTCGGGAAATTTTGCTCTGTGAGAGTGTGTGTGTGTTGTGGCTGTGCACGAGTGTTCCAGACGTTGGTGTTGGTGTATGTAGTGCTGGTCTGTGTGTTTATCCTGGCCTGAGCAGTCTGCACTTTTTCTTTCCGTGCAGAGCAGGTTGTGCTCCAGGCATGATGCTTGCCTCCTCAATTTGGACATTTGGCTGTTGTGGTCTGGTTTGCCTTGTGCTTGTCTATACAGTCTTTGGTTGGATGTCTCAGGCTGCACACTCCGCATGTCTCCTGTCCGGTGCAGCGTGATTGTTGGTGGCCGTATTTCTGACACCTGAAGCAGCGCAGGGGTTCTGGGACGTATGGTCTCTGTCGGTATGTTCTGTCGGAATGGTTCCACATTCAGGATTTGCTTGTGTTCTAGTACTGGATCCAGGAAAAAGTCGATTGGGTATCCCAAAAGCACGACTCGTGTGCGTCTTTCTGAAGGGTCCAGCTTTTCCAAGCATACAGGTTTCCCTTGCAGGACTCTTACTTTTTCTAAGTAATTTGCAGTCTGTTGGTCTTGTGGTGTCATTATTATTTCTCCTTTCAGGTTGACTGTAATGGAAAGTTTGAGCTCTGGTTGTTCTTTTTCCATTGCCGTTACTACTCCATATGCTGAAGGAAAGTGGTCTGTCTGCATTATCTTGAATTTTGGAAGATGTGCAGAGTCTGGCGATGGCTGGTGTGTGACTGGTGGTGTCCTCTCCTGTCTCATGCTGTCGTCCTGTGGCTGTGTTGTGGACAGAGAAACATTGTCTGACACTGGCTGGTGTGTGACTAATGCTGTCCTCTCCTGTCTCATACTGTTACCTGTGACTGGGCTGTGGAGAGAGGTACATTGTCTGACACTGGCTGGTGTGTGACTAATGCTGTCCTCTCTAGGTCCATTACGTCTGCTGTCTTGCTGGTAGAAGCAAGTGGTGAAGCCTCGATAGCAGTTTTCTTCGGTGCCTGCTGCACATCGGTCCACCGGCCCTCCTCGTCTGAAAGCTGCCTCCATTTCCTCTTTCTCTTAGCCTTCCCCATGACTCTCTCCACGTAGTGAGAACCGAATCACTGCCCTACCTAATGCCTGAGACACTCCTAGGCCTGGAGAAATTCATTCCCCTCCAACGGAGGTCGTAGAATGATTCCCCCAGGTGGAATCAGGGATACCTAACACCTAAAAGAGCTTTTGGTCTACCTTTCCCTGTCAGGCTCAGTACACCTTCTAAGGTGCCCCCTTGTGGCGCTGCCCGCAGGGTATCGCCTCGCCCTTCAGGGTAGGACTCTAAGTGACCTGGTCAGTGATACGGTCCTCAAAAAAAAAGAAAACAACAAAAAAAAGTGCGGTACGAGAGTTTGGGTCGCCTGCGTACTGGGTTGCGAAGAATACCAGTCAGCTGGGCAGCAGGTAATCAACAACGTTGTTTCTCCGTCAATTGTAGACGAAATCGGAATTGTTTCCTTCAAAACAAGATATTGTCTGGGTCTTGGAGTACTGATGTATTCTTCCTCACAAAACCGCGACGAATGGAGCTGATGGGTGCTCAGAATCGTGAGTTTTTCCAGGAACAAATCCGTGTGCGGTCAACTAGCAATGGCGCCGGCAGCGAGTCCGATTATTGCTATACAGTAGCTGCATATATTTCAACCAGTATTCTTAAATAATTGAAAGCTGTTCTCTGCATTTTGCCAAATACAGTAAATTTGTTTAATTTTCCCATTAAATACCACCTTGTATTGATATAGACTAACATGCCTAATGTTTCAAGCAGGTCTTTACCTTGCTCTAGTGAAACCTCAAATGGATAATGTTAAAATTTGCCCCATACTACAGAATAAATTAAATTGAATTAAATTAAATTTTTTATTAAGGAAAAGTATATACATAGTTGATTTACAAACATGATGTTGAATTTATAGATAGAGCTAGTACTGTATATGATTTTGGAAGAACTTCACTTACCAATGTTGGCAGCAAGGATAAACATCTGTGCTAGAGACAGGACACCACCAGCCAGGTCCATCAGCACGCTAGCGATACTGAAGCCTATTGTACTCTTCCTCTTGTAGTTCACATACGCCTCAACACAACATGCAACATTACAATTAGTCAATTAAAACCAATAGTGTAAAATTTGGAGTGCAAGTTCGAGTGGGAAAATTGTCATTATTATCTTGCATATCTAAACCGAGCAATACCGACAAAATAAATAATTTAATAATTCATTGTGTTGGGGGACAGGAAGCTAGAGTATATTCATACACGTTAGGCATATATCGAGGTGTCCCTCCCCCAAGATCGAATTACTGACCCCGCCCAGGATGCAACCCCACTCAGGGGCTGGCTGGCTGAGTAGACAGCGCTCTAGACTCGTGTTCCTAGGGACCAGAGTTCGATCCCGGCAGCCGGCGGAAAAACAAATGGGCAGAGTTGAGCATCCTTCACCCTAATGCCCCTGTTACCTAGCAGTAAATGGGTACCTGGGAGTTAGACAGTTGCAAGTGGCTGCTTCCTGATGGAGTGTGTGAAAAAAATAGTAGTTAGTAACAGTTGATTGATTGACAGTTCAGAGGCGGGCCGAAAGATCAGACGCACAACTAGGTGAATACAAGCTGAGTACCTTCTGACTGCTAGGAAAGGAAATATTTCCTTTCACCTAGGAAGGTGAAAGGAAATGTGCCAAACCATATCTGTCCCGCCCAGAATTCGAACCCGGAATTCTTGATTGTGTGTCGAGAACGAACCCAACTGAGAGAACTGGGACCCTAATATGACATACAGTAATGAAATGATTACTTGTTAGACTATACTAGACTATACACCTCTGACTATACCCAGAGTCAGAAAACACATGCCATGTAGCTCTGGAAAGGCTTAACACTTGTCAGGTACTGGAATATATATATAGCACAAACTCTTCCTAGACAGAGACAGGCAAGTAAACAGAGACAGACAGGTGATGCCAGCAGGCAGTTTTGATATATGTTGTCCGACCCACCTGTCGACTACAATCCTATATTAAAGTGCCCCTTCACACCTTCGTCTACACAGCTATCAATATATTCTACCGTGAGGCTCCCCAAGCATAAGTACAGAGTGTGTTAATGGGACGTACCTGAGGTGTGTACTTGAGCGGGGTGAGGCCAAGCTTGAGGTAGGACATGAGGTAGAAGACGTCAAGCCACCAGACGACTCCCAGGCCGGCCAGGACGCAGGTGGTGGCCACCGCCCCCAGGGCCGCCGTCACCAGGGCTCTACACGGCCAGGACACCGCCTGCCCGGCCCCACGCTACTCAAGGAAGACAAAGTAAACTGCCTTTCACCAATTTAAATTTTCAGCTGAGATTCAACATTCCATATAATGTTCAATTTCAGTTCACAGTCCGAGTGACATTAGTTTCATGCACGTGGACGGGTCTTTAAATAACTACAAATTTATCCTTAATTTCATAGAATAAATATAAAAAGCTTTCTTGGATTAGGCAAGATAGGGTTTGGTTGGTTAGGTTAATTTGGACTTGCTCGATAACTATAATAACGGGCCTTGTAAATACTAATGTAATACTCCCAACCTCACACTGACACCCAGCCTTCCATACCTTAAGGCTTATACCGACACCCATCCTTCCATACCTTATGGCTTATACCGACACCCAGCCTTCCATACCTTAAGGCTTATACCGACACCCAGCCTTCCATACCTTAAGGCTTATACCGACACCCATCCTTCCATACCTTAAGGCTTATACCGACACCCAGCCTTCCATACCTTAAGGCTTATACCGACACCCAGCCTTCCATACCTTAAGGCTTATACCGACACCCAGCCTTCCATACCTTATGGCTTATACCGACACCCATCCTTCCATACCTTATACTATGACTCCATACCTTATACAAGACACACTGCAGAGCGAGGAGAAGCTCCGTACCGAAGGCATACGCAGCAAAGACCACATCATTGAGCCGGACGTGGTTCACCTCCCTTGGGTACCGCTCGCTAAACTGACCCTGTACACAGAGATGTAGACACATTGACGAATTTAGAACAACTCGAGAGGACGGGCTGGCTGAAAAGCCTCATGTGAAAAACACAATTCCAATATTGAGGAAATATTAAGGCAGTCCCACCACACTGCCACTGTATTTTTTTTCAAACTCATAGTTTACTTTTGATCCACGATGGATATTCTGCAAATTTACTCAAGAGTTTCACTGAATGGCATCCATAATATTATGAATTTGTATTGAATGAAGTTTAATATATTTGTATTTGCATGTGAAGATTTTTTAAAGAAATTAGGTCGTTAGTTGTATTAACAAAAATAGTTATAATATAAGTTGTACTGTATTTAGTTAGAGGCATAAGCTGCATGCTACAGACACTTAGAGGGGAAGTTATGACTATACTTGGAGGGGTGGGATGACTATACTTGGAGGGGAGAGATGTATTCCTGGAGGGGAAGGATGACTATACCTGGAGGAGAGAGATGACTATACTTGGAGAGGAGGGATAATATACTTGGAGGGGAGGGATGACTATACTTGGAGAGGAGGGATAAATATACTTGGAGGGGAGGGATGACTATACTTGGAGGGGAGGGATGACTATACTTGAAGGGGAGGGATGACTATACTTGGAGGAGAGGGATGGACATACCTGGAGGAGAGGGATGGCGTAGAGACCCACGTTGAAGAACATGTAGTACATGAACGCGACAAGGTTGAGGACAACATTGTCCATGCTAAGACCTTCCACACTGCCGCCACCGCACACACATTCCCACACAACACAACAACATGTTAGCTCATGACCCGGAATTATCAAATCTATTTCATGGAGAGGCTATCCTACTGACCAGATTATGATGGACAGCAACTGCAAGCTTATTAAATTAGTCCATTACCGTGCATCATTAGCAAAATGAACGCATTTGTTAGTCAATAATCCATTTAGTTTGGTTTATTATGTTTATTATGCACGTTTTATTCATCCTCTTGATCATAGTGGAACGGGTTACGGACACAAATAGAGTGCGCACTTACATTTTGTTTTGTATTTTTATGAAGGCAGTAATTATGCTCACCGTTTCAGGCAATAATGGCTGAACTGACCTTTTTCTTCTCCAGTTGAGCCACATCTGCGGCAGGAAGGAGACGTCCCAGATGATGGTGTAGGTCCAGCCTAGCACCTCACTCAGCACTTGCAGCCCCGGGTAGTGGAGCACAGACACCCGTATGAAGGCATCACTTACACTGTAACATTAACAACAGAATTACTACTACTACTACTGTACTTGAGACGCCTCAGTATCTTTTAAAGGAATACAGATATAGTTAAATAAGATGTATTTTCAGTCACCGCCTTATAAACGCTGTAGCCTCGTGCCTCTCCTAAATTTGTATATGGTTTTGGAAATAAATAATTAGAGCTAACTGGTATTTCTTTACCTTACTTATTAGTGATGTAATACTAAATTTTCCTGCCACGATCCACCATCACCCACTAGCCATCATCTCCCTTCCCCCTCACCCTCTCTCCCTTTCCCACATTCCATCATCCACTTGCAGATGTGCCGGAGTGGCGCTCCAGCACCACTGCACCACTGGGACTTGTACTGAAAACTGTATACTTAATAAGACTGTTTACGTGATTTGCCAAAATAGGTAATTATACACACTTCTGCAAAACACATATACGCACTCGGATGTAATTTGTTGTAAATATATTTTGCAGAAACTGGAGATGCGTTAAGCATCCACAGTCCCCTGAGACAGCAGGCGCTAATACTAGTATTTGGCCCCGAGGCTTAAATCCCAACATAATACAAAAATTGTTTATTCTGAAAGCGATTCACAGCACAAAAATGGTATATATTTTTTGTATAATTTTGTTTGGCAAAAACTTAACTAAATTCGCTAAAAGCACCAAGACTGTAATTTTTTGTTGAATTATCTGCATGTCTCTTGCAAATTGTCTATACAGTATACCTAGGTCATAAAAGTATTTGTGTGTACGTCTGATACCATACTACTTGTGAAGGAGGAAATGTATATGTTTATCTCTCAGAATGTTTGGTAATATGTTTATTGTTTGTGATGTGTGTATATGTATGTATTAACACGATGTACTGAACGGGGTGAGAATAGCTTGAGCTACCTCATCCCTTTGTGTGTATTTTACATCAATAAACTTATTTCAATTTCAATTTCAACCTAACTAAAACTGTTGTGGAGAATGCCACTTACTCTAGCTCGGGACCGTCGGCTTCAAGAGCGAGGACGGTCTTACCGACCCAACGACTGCAGAGCGTCACATTCACTACCACAGTGTCCGGCTCCTGACGAAGCGATGGGCTTCTCGCCTGCCGCTTCTCCTCCCGCAGGTACCCTCTAAGCAGCACCCACAGGTGTGTCCGTGATGAGCGCATCCTCAGGGGATCCTGTAAGGTGCTGTGAGCGGGTAAGTTGGTCAACCGTAGATCATTGTCCGGTCCGCGGCCGGGCGCTAGACGGTGTCCGGGGAAGTCGCAGTTGGCCATCAAGAGAGGCGGGCACACGGGGAAGCCGTCCAGGGGCTCTATGCTGGGGTGCTCCGGATCGTACGTGAAGCTTACGTTCAAGCACTCCTTCAGGGTTCCACTGGAATATTAATAAGAATAATATAAATCTTGGTTATGATAAATAACAATCACTGAGTCACTTGCTCAGCTAAATGAACTATGAGGTTCAGTTCCTGAACCCATTATGTGCCTCTGTAACCCTTTCCAACACCGGCTACAGTAATGGATATGGGGTGCATAATAAAGAAATAAATTAAATTGAGATTATAATATATATGTATATATATATACATATATATTATGCGAACAAGCTTGAATGGTCCCCAAGCCAATATGCAACTGAAAACTCCACATCCCAGAAGGATTCGAACCCAGATAGCCAAAAGCGCTATGCACCTTGGCGTTCCTGGTACCTTAATCACTCGACCACATGACTCTTGATTTAGCCACGTGAGCAAATTTGTGTTGCTCACGTGGCCATTACGGCGCTGAATATTATAACCTTCTGAGGTTCGGTTGCCCTATATTTAGTGAAGATAATATTGCTTGCTGGGTCAACCTACAACAAGAGAATCTATAAGAATCTTTTATATAAGTAAGATCTATAAGTAAGATATTGGCCCTTTGCGGGTGAAAAATTATCGCTCATCAGCACATTCATACATGATCATTCGTACATGATAGGCTTTTAAACTCTTTCCCCAACTTTTGAATCAGAAGGTAACACAAACTATGACACTTCTCTATCTGACGGGACGTGGAGCTACTACCTACAGCAGGTGACACACGCTAAACACAGCGATAAATACATATATTCTGACCTGATGATGAGGGACACAGTAGTATTGTGGCGTTGGTGGCCCTCCAGCGTCACGTCGTGGGTGTTGAAGGAGGCCCAGGCGGTGGTGCTGGTCTCGCCCATCCCGCCACCTCTAGCACCAGCTGCCAAACAATAGCGAAGTGTTAACAATGAGACACAGCAGCAGATGTGTTCTGGTGAGGAACATGAACCCAACCTGCAGATCTCGGTTGACGTGCGTATGCTCAACCTTATTACACGCTAGCTTTACCTTTTGGACAAAAATCTTTCTTTAATACAATGGTTATTCCTGTAATGATCATTAGGTCATTAGCGATCAACCAGGATCACTTTGTAGCGTCAGTTACCAGTTCCTGTATAACCCGAGGATACTCTAAGAGGCAAGCGGGTGTGTAAACTAACCTAAATAGAGGAGGAAGCAGGGCAGGTGTTTGGTTAAAATCATGGTAGGATATTGCAGGTCACCAGTAGTCAGGCTGCCAGGAGACACCCTGGCTCTCTCTAGGTCGATGGCAGTCGCTGAAGGTCGACACAAATCACTTCGGGTCGGCACCTAAGTGAGATGGGCTGGTATGGGTGTCTACACCACGGCGCGGCCCTCCTGCAGGTGTACGGCCCCCCAGACTACATAAACCATCACCACAGCGGGCCAAGGGCGCCGCACGCTTAGATAACATTGATATAATGGGCGGGACTAATCTAGCGGTCACCCTTTTAGTGAATCCACCTACGGCGCCCTCCACCTCAAGCTTGTGCTCGGGACTTCGATATTAGAGCCCCTCCTCGACCCCCTGAAGGAAGACGCCCTCGCTAAAATATCCCGGGGAGTCAGGTAGAGCTCTAGGGACGCTGTAAACGGTCCCTCCCTCCATGATATCTTATCTTCGTGGCTTTGGTTCAACCACAAAGAGGTTAGACCTTATTCAACTACGACCTGTTTTATCAGCCAATGAATTCCCGCGTTTGATAGGGGTTTTCCCCATTGTAAGGGACAAAAAGACTGCAAGGCACTTAACCAAGGGTCAAGGTCAACTCGTGACCTTTCTAGGATGTAACAACATTCATCAGACTCTCGGGTACTTATTTGCTGCTAGGGGGAATAGGGACATCAGCCGAAAGGATGCGTGCCCAAACGTTGTTGTCCTGCTGCAGGAAGCGAACCCAGGGACTTCTTGTTGTTGTTGTTACAGATTCGGCTACTCGGAACAGGTTCCAAGTAGCACGGGCTATGGTGAGCCCATAACTTACCGGACACAGGAGCGGGGCAAGTAGCACGAGCTATAGTGAGCCTGTAGTGGCCTTATCTGGCACAGGAGCGGTGCTCATGGACTTTTTGGTTGAGCGTTGACTATTTAAAGTGATCACTGAGTTACAGGGGCAGGAGCGTTACCTGGTTGTTAGTGTTTTCTTGTTAGTGACTACGGGGGGGGGGGGGGGGGGGTTACAGTTACTGTAGCTCATAATGCCCAGCTTCTTGGTGGTGGGTGGTGGTGGGGTGGTAGTAGTGGGGTAGTAGTGGTGATGGTAGTGGGGTAGTGGTGATGGTAGTGGGGTAGTGGTGATGGTAGTGGGGTAGTAGTGGTGATGGTAGTGGTGATGGTAGTGGGGTAGTGGTGATGGTAGTGGGGTAGTGGTGATGGTAGTGGGGTAGTAGTGGTGATGGTAGTGGGGTAGTAGTGGTGATGGTAGTGGTGATGGTAGTGGGGTAGTGGTGATGGTAGTGGTGATGGTAGTGGGGTAGTGGTGATGGTAGTGGGGTAGTGGTGATGGTAGTGGGGTAGTAGTGGTGATGGTAGTGGTGATGGTAGTGGGGTAGTAGTGGTGATGGTAGTGGTGATGGAAGTGGGGTAGTGGTGATGGTAGTGGGGTAGTGGTGATGGTAGTGGGGTAGTAGTGGTGATGGTAGTGGTGATGGTAGTGGGGTAGTAGTGGTGATGGTAGTGGTGATGGTAGTGGGGTAGTAGTGGTGATGGAAGTGGGGTAGTGGTGATGGTAGTGGTGATGGTAGTGGGGTAGTGGTGATGGTAGTGGGGTAGTAGTGGTGATGGTAGTGGGGTAGTAATGGTGATGGTAGTGGGGTAGTAGTGGTGATGGTAGTGGTGATGGTAGTGGGGTAGTGGTGGTGATGGTAGTGGTGATGGTAGTGGGGTGGTAGTGGTGATGGTAGTGGTGATGGTAGTGGGGTAGTAGTGGTGATGGTAGTGGTGATGGTAGTGGGGTGGTAGTGGGGTGGTAGTGGTGATGGTAGTGGTGATGGTAGTGGTGATGGTAGTGGGGTGGTAGTGGTGATGGTAGTGGGGTAGTAGTGGTGATGGTAGTGGTGATGGTAGTGGGGTGGTAGTGGGGTGGTAGTGGTGATGGTAGTGGTGATGGTAGTGGTGATGGTAGTGGGGTGGTAGTGGTGATGGTAGTGGTGATGGTAGTGGGGTAGTAGTGGTGATGGTAGTGGTGATGGTAGTGTGGGTGGTAGTGGGGTGGTAGTGGTGATGGTAGTGGTGATGGTAGTGGTGATGGTAGTGGTGATGGTAGTGGTGATGGTGGTGGTGGTGGTGGTGGGGTGGTGATAGTGGTGGTGAGTAGTAGGGATGTGCCACAGAACATTTTTTTTTTTCAGGCCAGAGATCCCCTGTGAGTCGTACGACTCACAAACGAATTTTTGTTTTCTGGGAAATATCGTGTCTGTGAGCCAGGGTTTTGAGGTTCAATATTCCGCTTGTGAGCCGGGGTTTTCAGGTAAATTTGTCAGTCACAGATTTTAGAAGTTGTTAAAGTTCTTATGATGAAAATAATTTCCGAGACTTAGAAGTTTGTTAAAGTTCTTATCATGAAATAATGTCATACGAGTTTTGTTAAAAGTTCTTATTTGTTTCTTACTTAGAAACTAGTATATTGCTATATATCTGATTCATTTCCCTGCCATTCCCCTCCCCTCCCTCACCTTTCCCTCCCCCTTCATCTCCTGCTCCTACATCACACCCCTCCCTCCCCCCTTACCTCACAATCTGTCGCCGCACCTGTGTTTACTTTTAGACCGTCAGCCAGACGCGGCCTTCAGGTCACCTCGGTAATCTTATCTTATCTTCTCCATAATAATATCTGGACCGTCCCTCTCCTTCATATTGTTCATTCATAGTTCCTTTTCATTAAACTATTCAGTTTTACATATATAAACAAAGTCAGGGACTAGCTCACGTTCCCACCTTAGTTTTACTAATACATCTTCTTTAGTATCCAATCATTTTCTTCGAGATTTAAAACACAGCTATTTCAAACGTATTAAAATCCAAACAATTATCAAACTCTAGCTCTTGTCCCCCAGCTTAGTTCATTTGTACAAGATCGTTAGTAACAGATCAATTTCCCCCGAAATTTAAAGCAGACATACTTCAAAGTTAGTAAATAAGATCAAGTCAGTTACTGAGCTCCAGCTCTCGTCCCCACCTTAGTTCTCTTTCGTATCTTTGTAAATAACCCATCAATTTCCCTGAAATTTTTACCCTCTGTATTTCAGACACCTTACCTTACCTTACCTATCTTACCTAACTTTACCTATCTTACCTAACTTAACCTTCATAACCTAACTTTACCTATCCTAACATAACTTACCTTATCTTACCTATCTTACCTAACTTTACCTATCCTAACATAACTTACCTTACCTATCATACCTAACTTACCTAACCTAACTTACCTACATTTACCTAACTTAACCTGCTTAACCTAACTTTACCTATCCTAACTTATCCTGCTTAACCTAACTTACCTACATTACCTAACTTAACCTGCTTAACCTAACTTACATAACTTAACCTAACTTACCTAACTTAACCTAACTTACCTACATTTACCTAACTTAACCTGCTTAACCTAACTTTACCTATCCTAACTTAACTTACCTAACTTATCCTGCTTAACCTAACTTACCTAACTTAACCTGCTTAACCTAACTTACATAATTTAACCTAACTTTACCTATCTTACCTAACTTAACATTCATAACCTAACTTTACCTATCCTAACATAACTTACCTTACATTACCTATCTTACCTAACTTTACCTAACGTACATAACTTAACCTAACTTATATAACTTATCTTACCTATCCTAACGTAACCTAACTTGCTTTACCTAACTTAATCTTACATTCCCAAACTAATGTATCCTAACTTATCTAGTCCAGCCAGACATGATCTAACTTACATAATTATTCCTGCTTGTCTTTTGTGTTTCGTCAATCATTGTCTCATATTCATTTACTCATTTCAAGGGTTAATTTCTCAAATGGACATTTTTGCATTTCAAGTGTTATTTGTTTAAGATTAGGTGTCTAACCATTTCAAAGGATTTTTGTTATATATGGGAATTTACTCGTTTCAAGGGCAAATTTCTCAAATGGTCATTTTTGCAGATCAAGGGTTATTTGTTAAAGTTCCTCAAGTTGCTCATAAGTTGTATTTATTATGTTAGTTATCATTTATTCTTATTCCCCAACCCCTTAACCTAACCTCTTGTAATCTTAGTGTATTTAGTAGGTTCTATCATATGTTGTTATTCTCCATCCCTTTAACCTAACCTTTCAGATGTAGTTTATTGTGTTTTTTGACGTATTTGTTGAATATATTATCCTTTTCCTAACCTTTCAGATGTAGTTTTGTTTCTCCTTTTTGTATATATTTTTTACCCAAACCCACCATCCCACTTAACCTTCTTTCCTTCTTTTACTTTGTTTTCACATATAAGTTCATTCTTTATCTTAGTAATAATAAAATTACAATAGTAAAGAATCAGATCTACTAAGACTTGAAAATTGAGAAAAACAAGAGAGCAAGTGAGTGAGAGCATGAAAAGAGGAGAAAAGAAAAACTAAGTGAATGAGAGTGAGGGTGAGAGAATGGGAGCATTAAGACTTGAATTTGAGAAACAAGAGAGCATTTGAGCAAATGAGTGAGAGAGGGGGAGGAAGAGAGAGAATAAGGGAGAGATAGAAAGGGGGGGTTAGAAGGAGTAGGAGAAACAAAGTAAAAGAAGGAAAGAAGGTTAAGTGGGATGGTGGGTTTGGGTAAAAAAATATACAAAAAGGAGAAACAAAACTACATCTGAAAGGTTAGGTTAAAGGATAATATATTCAACAAATACGTCAAAAAACACAATAAACTACATCTGAAAGGTTAGGTTAAAGGGATGGAGAATAACAACATATGATAGAACCTACTAAATACACTAAGATTACAAGAGGTTAGGTTAAGGGGTTGGGGAATAAGAATAAATGATAACTAACATAATAAATACAACTTATGAGCAACTTGAGGAACTTTAACAAATAACCCTTGATCTGCAAAAATGACCATTTGAGAAATTTGCCCTTGAAACGAGTAAATTCCCATATATAACAAAAATCCTTTGAAATGGTTAGACACCTAATCTTAAACAAATAACACTTGAAATGCAAAAATGTCCATTTGAGAAATTAACCCTTGAAATGAGTAAATGAATATGAGACAATGATTGACGAAACACAAAAGACAAGCAGGAATAATTATGTAAGTTAGATCATGTCTGGCTGGACTAGATAAGTTAGGATACATCAGTTTGGGAATGTAAGATTAAGTTAGGTAAAGCAAGTTAGGTTACGTTAGGATAGGTAAGATAAGTTATATAAGTTAGGTTAAGCAGGTTAAGTTATGTACGTTAGGTAAAGTTAGGTAAGATAGGTAATGTAAGGTAAGTTATGTTAGGATAGGTAAAGTTAGGTTATGAATGTTAAGTTAGGTAAGATAGGTAAAGTTAGGTTAAATTATGT